TGGAATGGGAAATACTTGTGTAAAGTGTAGAAAAGTCAAATGTTTTAATACTATTGCAAGATGAGAGAGTCTTAGATTGTATGTACTCTAAAAGACATTAAAAGTTTTGAATTTTTTAGTATCCACATCTGACCCACGCCACCTCTAGAATAGGCAGTTTCACAATAACTTTGGAGCCCGGCTTTGATTGCTGATGAAATAGATGTTAATAATTTAGAAAGAGGTTTCGTGGAGCACTTGGAAGACCAAGCAATATACCGTTGTTTGCGTTTTTATTTTAAAGAAGCCTTTTCCGAAAAAAATGAAAGTATATCCCAAATTTTTTAGAATTCCTCGTAGCATAAATTAAACAGCCAAAACTATTCACTCAAGATACAGTAACAGATTTAAAAATACAAATTAGAAGGTAAAATCCCTTATACAACATAAGGAATTGAAATTGGGGCCGATGTGTTGGTGTCATGGGTGATTGTATTTGTATTTTCAGAGTTCGTTTTTGGTCCATAAAAAGGATAAAACAAATAATGTGTTACAAATATACAAAATTGAAATGCACAGAAGATATAATTAAAGAATTAACAAGGCTGTGAGTCTTTGATAAGTTTATTGGAGCATGGAAGTATTATATATATTGACTTCATTTTACTTCCATGATTGGAGCCATTATCAACTTTGAATTCCTCTTGTCTTCACCAGAAAAAAACTTTGATATAAACAACAGATGACTTCGAACAATTTTTCTTGTTCAAAGTTTTCTCTAACCAAGTTTTTCACAGAAACCTTTGATATTGACAAAATGCCTACAGTCATTCCCATCAGAGTCTGATGACCCCTACTAACCTGTCAAGTGTGACCAGTAATTTAACTCTATACTTTCTCTGAAACTAAAGTAAAATTGAGAATGGAAATGGGGAATGTGTCAAAGAGACAACAACCCGACCATAGAGCAGACAACAGCCGAAGGCTACCAATGGGTCTTCAATGCAGCGAGAAACTCCCGCACCCGGAAGCGTCCCTCATCTGGCCCCTAAACAAATATGTATAAGCATATAATATTGCTATCAGATGCAATACCAGTTACTAAATTGGTTCTATTTCAATATATACTGATAACAATCTTAATCGTTGTGTTTAATTTTCAAACCGCTACTGAAATACCCTAAAGCGTATTTAAATTCTTAACAAACAAATTAAACACTAACTTAACATTGGACCTAGTCTTCTCATTTGAACAAACCAATGAGTGTACATCAAATTTTTTAAGTAGACCTTTGTCCATATTCAGCAGAGGAAGGGTCCATAAGGGAAATCCATGCCTGTTCAGAAAAAGTCACAGCTTAGAGAGACTTAGTCCATGTCAGATATAAAAAAAAATATTTTGCTTTAATATAAACGTATAATAAATGAAAAAATACTTATTCCTAAATGATTAAAAAACTAAATGTACTATTTGTATTTTACATCTACATTGAAATAGTGAATATTTTCTTTCAAATTTATTAAAATGTGTCCACAATTATAATCACCTACTGATTAACATTCAAACCTTATTTCAATACTATCTAGAACTCATATAAAATAAGGTGATGTGGTATGATTGCCAATGAGACAACTATTGATCAGAGATCAAATGAAATAGATGTTTAACCAACTATCGGTCACTGTACATAATTTTACACATACTGGACATGTTGAAGGCCTCACTGTGACTTTTAGATGAAGAACAGCAATAAAAGTGCTGTTCCTTTGCTTTTAGTGTGTTGTTCTTTTCTTTCCTTTTTTTTTTTTTTTTGCTGTGCATGTACTGATTCTGTGTCATGGATGGATACTGCACCCTGTGTCCTTTGATGTTCTATTATGTAAACGTTTTATCTATTTTATTTTATTATTTCAGTTCAACAACAAAAACTCTCTTTTACCTCCTTCAGTACTGAAAGAAGTAAATACCCTTTAAATCCCAAAGTCTTTAAGCTAGATAAAAGTAAAGGGTGTATTTAATTCCTGAATACTTCATAAAATTTGAAAAATATTAAATACTTTAATATTTGTCTTTGCATGAAATCAGTATCCCTTTTCATAAATATTCTTACAAAATTTCTTTCTTCAGAGAGGTAGAAAATAACTGAATTTAAAGTCCAGGATTTTTGTTGTGAAAGTTCAAGAAAAAATTCTGACTGGACCAGTTGTGGAAAACATTTTGTTGTGAATGAAACTACAAATTAAAGTATTGCTGTATGAGTATGGTATTTTTGTATAAAAAATTATGTCTGTTAATATTTTGTGTTACATCTGAAAATAAAAACATTTTAATATTTCCTGTGTAATAATCTCTATCAAGAATGTTCATTGTTAATGAACTACAGTTGACGAACAGCAGGATAAGAAATAACACACTCAAATATTATTTTTTTTTTAATTATGATCCTTGTCCTCTGAAAACAGAAAATGGTCTGCTGATTAATTTCAAGTTTTCCGCATTCTGCATAAGTTACACTACCATTGGAATAATGCAGTCTGCAAAATCATCTGAGTGATTCAAATGTTATATATTTCAACCAATTATAATTGTAAAAAAAATTCGTATTTACTTGTATGAAAACAATTGAATACACTAAATAAAATTGTTTGCAAAAAACACTCACAGGATTGCTGAAAGTATACTTAGTAAGCATTATATTTGATTTCTTGAAGTTGTAAACAATAAAAATTGAATAACATATCATAAAAAACATATAAAATAAATCATTGATAAAACAGTGCCTGGCACTATCTCCTGTCCTATTTCCTAGAAAGCGTTTTAAGTCTATCCCTCATCTTTCCTCTCACTTTCTTTATTGCTACTGTATATGCCTTGGCTATTAAATCTGAAAATATAAAGCGAGTGTAATATTATAATAACAACTAACACAGGATTTATATGTAGCGGTAGAAAGATAACATTTTTTTACAGTTGTTGAACAAAAGTTATTTTTCTTTTTTATCACTGGTAACAATCTCATGTCAGTCAAACTTTGGTCAAAAATGTATTTAATTATTTTGTTTAGACTGGATTCTCTGTATTTTGAGTCATGTTATTAATAAATGCCATGATAATCATACTTGTGTCTGACCAAATATGCTGTAAACCAAGCTATTTTGGTGGCAAACTACATTAAGTCCTGAATTTTTTCTTGATTTTCTTATACCGGTATATAAATGCATCAACAGTATATACTACATCAATAACTTACCTCCCAAGAAACTTCTTTTGGTTTAATCAAGGCCAGATCTTGGGGCATCCGTTTTTGTATTCTTTTGTTGGCCTAATAGGCTGCAATTCCTCAATTCCTCTTCATTAAAAACCATTGGCATTGTTGCATTTATAGCTTGCGTAACATCTGATCTGGATTTGGCTGTTCTTTCAATTTCAATCTCAAAATCGGGATTTTTTAAGCCAACTATACGGTATTGGTTTTTCTCATTGTTAAAGACCGTACGGTGACCTATTATTGCTAATATCCACCTCATTTCAACTCTGGTGGATAGGTATTTCATTGTCAACGATACCACGTCTCCTAATATTATATATGGCCAACTAAAAAGCGAATTTGAGGAGCATCGAACGAGCAAACAGCCAAATACCTTGAACATATTTCGTCAAGATCTTATAAAAGTCATATTTTATTTTAATATGACTACATCTACAAAGATAAACTAAAACAAATGTTATAAATTCGGTTAGAAAGCGCCAAACCCTAAACAATTATCAGTGAAAATAAGCAAAATCTGTTAGATGAACATTCGCTATCCAGCTTGATAGTAACTTCGACGAACTATCCTTTTTGCCGTCTGCAAATGTGCAATATACTTTTTGCATGCTTAAAATCACTGAACTTATATAGTCATGTTTGTCGATAGTGTGAACCAACTCTTTTTTTACAGATTCTTCTTTTTTCAAACTTGCACTTTCTATCGATTCGTTATGGCGTTTTCTAACTTTGTAAATGTAGTCATACAAAGAGAAGAGTTTTCTTCTATAAATTCGAGGAGCCTCGGTTGTCGAGTGGTTTAAGTAGTCGGACTACTCTATCACTAGCTTGTCAACACTTAGGTTGTGAGTTCGAATCCCGCACGTGGCAGGTGTGTTCGACTTCAATCCTAGTTGACTACGATTGTCAGTTGTCCTACCGAAGGTCGGTGGTTTTCTCTGGGCATTCTGTTTTCCTCCACCAATAAAAACTGACTGCCACGAAATAGTACAATAGTGCTGAAAGTGTCGTTAAACACCAATCAATCAATCAATAAATCGATAAATTCAAAACGAATGATATTTGATTTTTTACCGCAAAAGACGTGAAATTAAATTTCTTGAACATTATTTGGTTTACAGTATCGAAATACGCAAAACCCAATCTAGGCGTCAATCGGGATATTTTGTCTGTTTTCATATAACCAGCAATCATTTAATGACGATTTGTTTTATGTATGTTTGATTTGATCTCATAGATTAAATTTAAATTTTTTTTTTCAGTTTATGAATGATTCGTTTTTGTTTTTTTTGTTTTTTTTTTTGGTTGCCTGAATCGGGCTCCATTGTTTCACTTTTTGATGTTGAAAATCTGTTCTTTTAAAAGAACACGCGTTGAAAATGCGTAACCCATCTCCACCTACGGGTTGAATTATTGACTTTTAAGACAATTATACATCAGCGATGTTTTTGAGCTTATTTTGAAAAAATTGAACCAAACTGACTGATAATAGCCAAATACTATTTCAACATTCCGCTTTTATAAATGTTTATAACAAAACAAAAAACATATTTTAATGTTTGGTATAAATCGTAGTTAGTGCACCTGAATGGAAATCAATGTTCAACAAGTTTGATTCAACAACTAAAGTAAATATTGTTAATACACATAAAACAAAACAAATTCAAAATTCATTATGATAATAATCAAAAACACCTTATTTAAATAATCTGCGAATATTAATTGCAAAGTTATATTTAAATAGGAGGTTAAGCTATTGGAATAGTTACATTTGAATCATCACAGTGTTGTTTCAATAATTTATTTTACTATTTTATTATTTTATCAATGTGAGTCATCGCAATGTTGCAATTCTTCAATCTCATCATCCACTTGCTGTACTTCCCGCAGTTGACATGGTTGGCGTAGTTGGCGTAGTTGGCGTAGTGACTGTGGTTGCTTGTGTTGTGGTTGATGTATTTATGGTAGTTGTAGTTGTCGTCATCATCATTTGCATCATCATTGGCATCATGACCATTGCCATCATCATTGTTGCCACTGCCATTGTTGGTGCAGTTTGAGATGCAACTGAAAAACCACAAAGACAATAGTGTGAATATTTATGTTTCCATTATATCACGCATGCTCTTCATTAGATGCTACAAATACAAAACTTAGCAATAAGTGAAAAGTCATCTAAACATTTACATGTATTTTGAATAAACAATCACATATATCCCTAATTATTATTGTTAAATATTTTTTAATCATAAGCTTTGTTTAAAGATTTACTTCTTTAGTATACACAAAAGTATGTTTAAAGTATTGAACCATTAGTTCTAAAAAACATTATTAAAAAAACGAAAATGTTTCTATACGCATATATAATTACATACATAAGGGTAATCCTAAAAATCCTGAAAACCCATCACTTGAATCTCTGGTTGTCGTCGAAGATAATATTATAGGACGTCTTGGCTCTTCCTGGTTAACGGGAATTCGAATTGGCCGTGGAACTGGTAGAATAATGCGTCTGATATTTCCATGTATAGGTTTGGAGGTGTAGAATGGCAGGATGATGAGTAAAATAAAACTGATCTGATAGATGTTTCTCTGCAAAACAGTTTATTTGTAATTAACTTAACAATCATGGCTTCAGAATGAGATATATCAACTCTATAGATGAAAATTTTTAAAAGACATGAATGGGAATGTAAACATCAAGCTTACAACAATGCAAATGATGCATAGCATTTTACCAATGTTCAAATCACAAATAAATCGTTTCAGAATCGAGGTCATTAAAACGTGCGTGAACCAGATAAACCCTCAAAGGACAGAACATCTTTAGGTCTAACAGAATTGTCAAGATAAGATGAATCTTAACAACAATCTTAACAACATATACAATATCTTTTTGACTCCTGTATTTTTCCAAATTGAAAAAAAAAATAGAGAATACTTAATATGCTGTATTCACACCGAAATTGTTAAATGAAGAGAGAATATTAGTGAAAAAAACCACATCGATGACAATTTTCGGACGCCATTACAAGTTAGTAGATCGTTGTTAAATATCTGTTTCACATATGACGACAAATATGTTCTAATTATTGTAACCACAATCCAGTTCCTATTTTCCATGATTGCGAATTACCAAATTATCACCAAATGTGTCCTTACATAATTAATACTACGAGTGCCACATGTGGAGCAGGGTCTGCTTATCCTTCTCAAGCACCTGAGGTTTCCCCCGGGTTTCCGGTGGGGTTTGTGTTGCTCTGTCTTTAGTTTTTTATGTTGTGTTTTGTATGATGTTGTAAGTCTTAAGGTCGTTTTGCATTTTTTCCATGGCGTTGTCAGTTTTGTTTCAAAAAACTTACCATAAATTTTAGGCGTTATTCAAGCTTTATATTTTTTAGATCCCTATGTTCCCCCATTCCACATTTGTAACAAGAAAATTGAAACATGTGAAATGTATACTTTTAATAGGCAAATTTCTATCCCAATGAAAGTTGCTGTTTACAGGTATACACTTGACGACCTGTTTAACATTTGCACTAAATAAGGCGAAGGAAACAAAAGTAAAATAACAAAAATAACGAACTCCAAGGAAAATTAAAAACTGGAATCATATATCAAATGGCAAAATCAAAAGCTCAAACACATCAAACGAATGGAAAACAACTTGGTACAGGCATTTCATTATGTAGAAAATTGTGGAAGAAACCTGTTTTTATAGCTAGCTTAACCTCTCACTTGTATGACAGTCGCATAGAATTCCATTACATTGACAACAATGTGTGAGCAACACAAACAGACATAATAGAAACAAAATGTCAAAATTTGGGGTACAGCCGACAAAATTGTGTCATTATCTTAATCACTATAAAAAGAACTATGTCAACAATGAAAACAAAATGGCATATAGATACTCTATACATTGTTGTCTTTTGACCATTTTTCTTTTTTGGCTGTAGCATTGTCAGGTTGTTTTCGACTTAGGAGTTTGAATATCTATTTGGTATCCGTCGCCTCTCTTTTATGGAACATAAATTACATTCTATATTAATATAATATATATAGTATTACAATTATATAAGCAAACGTAACATACCATTATATAAGGACAGTAAAAATGCTGTTAGAGCTCCTACGCCTTAATCCTCACCTACACAGTTTTTGTTTTCCATAGTGCGTTTAGAACCAATATATATATAGTACTGTATATCCATCAAATATAATTAAGATATTGCCCTGTTTAGGTTGCACTAATCAACGAGATCATGAACATTGATGAATGTTCGTTACCCTTTAGCACGTTAAATTGTCGGTTTAGAATTATTGATGACTTAAACACACTTGGATTTCTTGCGTCTAAGAATAGATGTGTGTGTACGTGTCATTTGGAATTAATTTTAGAATCACACAATTAATATTGAATCCTGAAAAGAAACTCATCATACAAACCACGATTAAAAGTGTGTACGTTAGACGCTCAAGAGACGCCTTAAATTGTGACAGTCATTCTACGTAACTTAAGTATCTGACTATAAATGATTAAAATTAAATACATGTTTATTATATGAACTGTTTGGTATTTGGACATCAGTCGGTTTTACAATCTTTCTTGTGTTGAGTTTGTGATTGAAATAACTACAGGGGAAATTTGTCCTACCTTATTAGTCCTAGTGGCAATTTAGAATTTAAAAGAGATGCGAAATATACCAAAGGGACATTCAAACTCATAAGTCAAAAATAAACTGACAACACCATGGCAAAAAAAATAAAAAAAGACAAACAACAGTACACAAAACACAACATAAAAACTAAAGACTGAGCAACACGAACCCCCTCAAAAACCGGAGTAGATCTCAGTTGCTCCGGGAGGGTAACATAAATTTTTGCTCAGTGACATTGACTTGGGTTGGAAGAGTTAATAGAAAAATAATTAAAAATAATTAAACATCATAGTATTTATTTTTAAAAACCTACAAGTTTAACATTAGCTTTCGATTTTCTCAATTGAGTTGCAATTTTATAGTATATTTTGATTGAACAAAAACTTTTCAAAGATACCAGGCTTATAATTTTGTTGGATAGACTAGAGTTTCGTCTACAAAAGTCTCATCAGTGACGCTCGGATCAAAACGTTAAAAAAACGAAATCAAGTATGAAGTTGGAGTGCATTGAAGACCAAACATTTCCAAAAAGTGTCTGCATACCCTAAACGTAAATTAGCATATAGCCCGTTAATATAAAAAAGCGATACGAACTATTATCTGGAGTAACCTGTTTGTTCCTCGCTGCGCATGGGTTTTCAACACAGGAAATCATTATTGAAAACAGATAAAATCATTTTTTTATTCATTTTTGAGAAATTTGAATACGTACAAAAATATTTCGATTTTTTTTTTTTTTTTTTTTTTTTTTTTTTTTTTTTTTATTTCATGTTATTCTCTATATCTTGTTTAAATTTAGCGTATTTCTTAATCATTGTCTTGAAACTGAAATTAGCCATCGTCTATGTTATTTGGTCTTTTATGAACAGCTGTGTCATTTGCAATCATACAATATCTCTTTCTTTCTATACTTTATGTCTTTTTTTTTGTCATTGAAAGTTTTAACCAATTAATCATATCATTGTTCCAGCTGATATTTGTTTTAATTAGTAATACCTAAAATTTTACGTTTAATGAAATCCGGAACGTCAGTGCAAACCAAACGTGGGTTCTTATCGAAAATCCAATCAGAGCAATATAAAATGTACATGGCAATTTATTTCCCTACAGATGTTCATGAGATATTTTTTCCCTAAAGATGTACATGCGACTTTACACCACAGATGAATATGATAGATGTAGTTTTAAGAGAGTTGGGATCATGTTCCTCTGTATTTATGTTACTTTCAGGGTAATTCTAAATATAATTTGCTAAAAACACAAGGTTTCAGAATCACTATGTATTTTTTTGATTTGGCTATAATTTGCCTCATTTCGGCTTGTTTAACTACAATGAATATTTATATCTAAATGACATATCTGGCATTAACAACACACTTGTATTGCTGATCTTAATGTCTTTTTACATGTATATTTAATTCAGGTTGTCAGGAATTTGGATGGATTGTAATAAGTATAAAAAATAAGAAGATGTGGTATAATTGCCAATGAGACAACTATCCATTAGAGACACATAGAAGTTAACAACTATAGGTCATCGAACGGCCTATTATTTTGAAACTAACAACATAGTAAGATATGACTAAAACGTTTTACCCCGCGTCCTCCGAATGTGTTTGTGCAAGAAGCAAAAACGCTTGAAAGGACCAACGTAAATGTTAAATTCTTCTTTATTTCTTAAAAACCTTTGGTTTTTCAGTGCTGTTTGGCCATATCTGGACTGTACGTAAACGCATCATGGTATGATGACTGTACATACACGCATCACGATATGAAGTTTGTACGTACACGCATCACGGTATGAAAACCGTTCATACACGCGTCACGGTATGTAGAGTCGGGAGTCTTATAGTTGAGATATTAAATAAAGGACCATCTCAAAAGAATGAAATTGATTATTGATTTACTCGGTACAATAATAGCGTTTCTAACATTGCTATCCCACTCGACGATTTTGCTTACAGTTAAGAGAGAAAAGACTCAAGCTTCATGTCATGAATTAAAACGTCTGTATTATATTTATGGTTTTTTTTTGACATAGTTATATTTCAACTAAAATTAATGAGTCATATACAAATATAATCAGTTTATGTTAGTCAGAATCACAATTAAATTATGAGAAAATGCCAAAAATCATTTATGTTTTTGGCACTTGCTTCCTTATGAATCGGTCATGCCAACTAGTTTTTCCGGGCAAGTTGCATTGTGCTTGGCTTTTTCTTTTGCATCCTTCCTTTCAGTCTTCGATTCTTTCGGAAGTGGTCGTAGATCGCAATCTTCAGAGGTAATCACAGTTGCCGCTCTGTCCAAATGATCACTCTGTACTTGAAAAATTTGATGGGCGATTGATGAATTGAAAAGTAGAAAAAAATTGTAACAAAAATACAGAACTCCAAGGGGAAGTTCAACACTGACAAAATCAAACGCTATAAATAAACGGATACAAGTGAAAAACAACTGTCATATTCCTGACTTACAGGCATTTTCCAAAGAAAATGGTGGAGTAAACCTTGAAGGGTGATTAGTCAATGAGGAAGCCGATGGAAGATCAATCAATGAAAAAGTACCTGTACTGAAGATGATTTTGTAAAGTATGTCATATTTCATTACACCAAAACGCAAAATATACAAATTTGTTGAATGAAATTTCAAAAAACGAATTTTGAACGTTATATATTTACAATATGAGTGCGGATAGAGATGGCACTCATACATACCTTTTATTTACATCAGGAATCTTTCTGACTTAGGTCCCAATCCAAATTCCAATTTTTGTGGACAGTCTCAGAAGAAGCTGTTTTTGTGTATATGACTAAATAATTTTTGCGCTTAATTTGACAAGGTATGGAGATTTTTTTTCATTTCATTGATACTTTCTGTCAATGAACAAGGATGACTCGGGAGTGACCAACTTGTTTCCACTTTGAAAATCTAAATATGCGTCTTCTTGACTGAAAGTCACGATTTGCCGGTACCTATATAGCCAAAAAATTAACAACATTCAAATCTAAAAGCGGGCAAAATGTAGTAGTTTATGCATTTACAATGTTTGCTTACTTTAACAAGCTCTTCATGTTTTAATAAGTTTTTTGATATTCAAATATTTGGCCTCGAGCATCAATGACACTACAGTTAGTTCCGAAAAGCGCATCTTGGGCAGCAAAAACGGTAACGTTAATGTTATGAAACATATTTGGCTGCGTCCATTTAGCTTTGTTATCCTTCCTTTCAGTCTTCGATTCTTTCGGAAGTGGTCGTAGATCGTAATCTTCAGAGGTCATCACAGCTGCCGCTCTGTCCAAATGATCACTCTGTACTTGAAGAATTTGATGGGCGATTGATGAATTGAAAAATAGAAAAAAATTGTAACAAAAATACAGAACTCCAAGGGGAAGTTCAACACTGACAAAATCAAACTCTATAAATAAACGGATACAAGTGAAAAACAACTGTCATATTCCTAACTTACAGGCATTTTCCAAAGAAAATGGTGGAGTAAACCTTGAAGGGTGATTAGTCAATGAGGAAGCGGATGGAAGATCAATCAATGAAGAAGTACCTGTTCTGAAGATGATTTTGTAAAGTATGTCATATTTCATTACACCAAAACGCAAAATATACACATTTGTTGAATGAAATTTCAAAAAACGAATGATGAACGTTATATATTTAAAATATGAGTGCGGATAGAGATGGCACTAATGCATACTTTTTATTTACATCAGGAATCTTTCTGACGTATGTCCCAATCAAAATTCCAATTTTTGTGGACAGTCTCAGAAGAAGCTGTTTTTGTGTATATGACTGTTTAATTTTTGCGCTTATTTTGACAAGGTATGGAGATTTTTTTTCATTTCATTGATAATTTCTGTCAATGAACAAGGATGACTCGGGAGTGACCAACTTGTTTCCACTTTGAAAATCTAAATATGCGTCTACTTGACTGAAAGTCACGATTTGCCGGTACCTATATAGCCAAAACATTAAATAACAACATTCAAATCTAAAAGCGGGCAAACTGTAGTAGTTTATGCATTTACAATGTTTGCTTACTTTAACAAATGAAAATATTATTAGAAAATGTCTCAAATGTATAATTGATATCATTATTTCAAATTACAAAGAACAGAATATCATTGGAAGACAAATAAAAACTTACTTGAGGTGGTACCAAACACCTTGACTAAAATTAATTTGGCTCGTTTAAATTTCATAAAATTTTGACAAAAAATTTACTTTGACCCTTTGACAAAAATATAAAAATTTCAAAAAACTTGAAGCACACACTTTATCAGAAAAACTTCATTGGATATATAGCAGTTTGACAAACACTAATTTTGATCATTGAGAAGCTTAATATTTCCTTAACAATAACACGTTCAGCTGATTTTTACAGAGTTATCTCCTTGTAGTGTTATGTTCCACCTTAACTGTAACTAATTTAATGAAATTAAAAAATTGAAAGAGATTAAGACTCGAGTTAAATGAAAAATGTAAGCCTAGATGCCTTCAGCCAAAACGTTTGTTCGGAGCTTTATTGTATATTATAATAAATATGAAATTCATCTACAAAATCCCTCTGGCAATTAGAAGTAATAAAAAGCATTGAAAACATTACTGATTTGATTACATATTTCAAAAATATGAAAAATATATATAAAACCAATGTCTACAGGTAGTTTTACCATTGATTTTGAAACATCATAACCAGATAACCATAAAGGATTCACATACATGACTAAAAATCAAATCTATAGCAAAGTAAAATTTCATCTAAATCCTAAATGCTATCA